CAGTCCAGGAAGATTCCACATGCAGCGGAGCAACTAAGCCTGTGTGCCACAAGAAGCCCGTGTACCTAGAGCCTGTGCCCCACAAGAGAAGCCACCGGAATGAGAAGCCTGTTCACCACAACGAAGAGTAGCCCCCGCTCACCGCCACACCTAGAGAAAGCCCACACGTAGCAACAAAGCCCCAGGGCAACTGAAAACGTACAAAGAAACTCCACTTAACAACACATCAAAGGAATTTAACTTTTGTGAGCCTGACCCATGTAGAAATGGTCATTATATCCAATATTTCCACTATCCTCCAATATCCCCCTATTGTTATTCTCAATTATCACTTCAATTTGTGTTTATAACTCCAACAAAATGTCTCCAATTAGCATGAACTAGCATCTTTTAAAGAAATCCTTCTTTTATTCTCAGCTCTAGAATAAAGTCTCTTTGCCTCTGACAGGACCTCTGGAAATGTTATTAAAATTCTCAATTAAAAAAATTAAACATTTAAACTTGTTTCTGATAAGCAGTAAGATAGAACATTAAATGGCTGTAATATTAAAAGCTTCATTCTACCCAAGAGGCAGTCTTTAGAGATCAGTATCCACAAAAATGTAAACAAAACAAAGGCCAGGCACAGCTTTTAAACTAATGAGACCTTATGCTACTTGGATCATGAGAATCAAACAAGGATCTCATGAGTTTTCTGATTTTTACAAACATGCTTATAAAAAGTAAGGCCACCATAAATCCCAGTTTAAGAACCTGGTCTCAAATATTCAAAACTGATTTCCTGGACTAAACCAAAGCATCAGATACCTAGGTGCCTGAGATACGTATTTTGGTGTCATTGTAGAAATAGCCTTCACTTGAATAAGCTGAGCTGTTGCCCATCAGCTAACATTCAGGCTGTTACAAGATACAATCCCTTCATTTTATTTACTGAAAAGACAAGGCTGTTTCTTTATGAGAATACAAAAGAGAAGTTCCTTTAGGCTTAACTGCCAGAAAATGTTATTCTCCACCATGACTGGCTTTTTATATGATGGACACTGCAATTTCTCTAATTGCCCACATTACCTTCTCTGTGTGGCCTGCCAGGTCTTTCAGAGCCAATTCATGAATCAAGGGTACACAACATTTTGGGGTGTTGGCTTCACTTGGGGTATTATTTTCACCCAGAAATCAAATTTTTCATTTACTTTTCAAATATTGCACTGTATGCTTTTTTTCATAAATCCTTCTTGAAACATGGTAGAGCAGAAATAAAACCGAAGCCAGGTTCAGTTAGAATAAGATCAAACCCAGGTCTCCAACATTGCAGGTGGATTCTTTACCAGCTGAGCCACAAGGGAAGCCCAAGAATACTGGAGTGGGTAGTCTATCCCTTTTCCAGGGGATCTTCCCAACCCAGGAATCAAACCAGGGTCTCCTGCATTGCAGGCGGATTCTTTATCAACTGAGCTATCAGGGAAACCCAAGAAATAAAACTATTGCAATAATTATTGAAAAAATAAGCATACTGGGATTTCCACTCATACTTGGTTAAAGTGTCTCCTTGAAATAGAAAATGGCTCTATTCCACTGACAAGTGACTTTCCAACGATACACTGCAGATAGCCTGTAGATAATTTGACAAGGCAAGATGTTTTAACTTTTGCCACTACCACTTAAGACAATACAGATGAATGGATGACCATCTTCCAAGTTATGATCAACTTGAGATGGATTCAGGATTGGTTGGGTATAGAGGCTTTTTAGAGTTCTTTAGAAGACCCCGAAAAACAAACCTGCCATCTTGAATCCATCTTTTAGACACTCGGGGGCAAGTTACCAACCCAAGAAAATGCACATACCACAAATTGCATTCAATTTCTGGAGAGCCCATAGATATCCTTCCAGTCCATTTATGAACCTAAAGTTAACAACCACTAGAGCTTACAGCCTAGGTCCTGAGAAATCCTGCATATTATATGATTCTCATGTAAAAGTTTCAAAGATAGATGAGAGATTAGGGATAGCTCCTGTTCAAATTATGTAGTAATAAGTCATACTGCAATAACCACCTCAAAATATCCTGCTTTGTACATCTTCATTCCACATGATCATTGCTATGTAAAGAATTAAGTCCTGCCCCATCCAATCTCATTACCTGGGTTTTTTCCCTCCCTCCCTCCAACGTTTGTTGTTTGCCTCCACTTTGCATTGTTGCACTTTGCTGTTCGATATTAGAATACATTCTTAAATAAATGTTATACATTTCAATGCATATTTCTTGCTTTATGTTTTTTGCTAATGACATTACTTGCTGTGTATTTTACATTTATTTTAGACTAGGGAAACGATGTTAGACAAAGAGCAAATTCGAGTGATTTTTCTTATTTGAATTCAAAACAGGTCATAAAGCAGAGGAGACAACTCATAACATCAAGAAGGCATTTGGCCCAGGAACTGCTAATGAACATACAGTGCAGTGGTAGTTGAAGTTTTGCAAAGGAGACAAGTCTTAAAGATGAGGAGCATAGTGGCTAGTGATCGGAAGTTGCCAACAATTGAGTGCCATCATCAAAAATGATCCTCTTGCAACTACGCGAGAGGTTACCCAATAACTCAGTGTCAATCTTTCTACAGTTGTTCAGCATTTGAAGCAAACCGGAAGGGTGAAAAAGCTTGATAAGTGCATGCCTCATGAGCTGATGGCAAATCAAAAAAATCATCATTTTGGAGTGTGTTCTCTTACTCTACACAACAGTGAACCATTTCTTGGATTGTGACATGCAACGAAAAGTGGACTTTATTTGACAGCCAGAGACGATGAGCAGCTCAGTGATTAGAAGAAACTCTAAAGCACTTCCCAAAGCCAAACTTGCACCAAAAAAAAGTCATGGTCACTTTCTGGTGGCCTGCTGCTAGTCTGATCCACTACAGCTTTTTGAACCCCAGTGAAACCATTACATATGAGAAGTATGCTCAGCAAATCGATAAGATGCACTGAAAACTGCAATGCCTGCAGTTGGCACTGGTCAACAGAATGCAGGGCACACAACCAATGGTTCAAAAACTGGACGAATTGGGCTAAGAAATTTGGTCTCATCTGCCACATTCACCTGACCTCTTGCCAACCAACTACCACTTCTTCAAGTATCTCTACAACTTTTCTGCAGGGAAAACACTTCCACAACCAGAAGGCAGCAGAAAATGTCTGTTGAATACTGAAGCATGGATTTGTATGTTATAGGAATAAACAAACTTATTTCTCATTGGCAAAAATGTGATTATAATGGTTCCTATTTTGATTAATAAAGATGTGTTTGAGTCTAGTTATAATGATTTAAAATTCAGGGTCCAAAACCGCAATTATTTTTTCACCAACCTAATAGGAAGTTCCATGAAGGCAGAAACTGTCTTCCTCAAGGCTGTACCTCTGGTGCCTAAGAGGTACTCAAATATTTTTGAATAAATCTTCCACAGGATTCTCTGGAGCAGATTTTTACAGTATACTAACACATATATATGGAATTTAGAAAGATGGTAATGATAACCCTATATGCAAAACAGAGACAGACTCAGATGTATAGAACAGACTTGTGGACTCTGTGGGAGAAGGCGAGGGTGGGATGTTTCAAGAGAACAGCATCGAAACATGTATATTATCTAGGGTGAAACAGATCACCAGCCCAGGTTGGGTGCATGAGACAAGTGCTCGGGCCTGGTGCACTGGGAAGACCCAGAGGGATCGGGTGGAGAGGGAGGTGGGAGGGGGGATCGGGATGGGGAATACATGTAAATCCATGGCTAATTCATTTCAATGTATGACAAAAACCACTGCAATGATGTAAAGTAATTAGCCTCCAACTAATAAAAATAAATGGAAAAAATAAAAAAAAGAAAGAAAATAAAATTTTACTGGAACTCCATCATGCTCATTCATTTACATACCATCTATGGCTGCTTTCATACTATAATGCTGAGCTGAGGAGTTCCAAATGGGTTAATGTAAACCCATGAAGTCTCAAATATTTACTAGTTGGCTCCTTACAGAAATTTGCTGACCCCCAACAGCACTCAATTGGCCTTTATCTCTCAAGTTAGAATTGGAAGCACTGTAGATAGAGGAGTTAGGTCTTAATACTTCTTTGCTTGTAGAACAGAAGTGCTTTAAAATAGCTATCAAATACAGATTTTCTGTAAAGTAGTTAGCCTCCAACTAATAAAAATTAATGGAAAAAAATAAAGATTTTGAACTGAAAAAAAAATACAGATTTTCTTCTTGCAACATAAATTTCTGCACAATTAAGTTCAAAGTTATTATTTTCCATTCTCAATGCATTTCTAGCAAGGCCAAAAGCAAAAAAGCAAAGGTTACCTATGTTCAGTAAATTGGAGGACAGAGAGAAGAGATTCTGATGCTAAGTTCTGGCAAATTTTCACAATCTTTAAAATGCCAATGCAACATAACTACTGGAAAGCTCTTCCCTGATATGTTTCAAACAAATGATTTTGAGGTGAACCATAGTTATTTTCTCACTGGCATAATCATTCTAACAATGTATCATTTTTTTAAAAATGCCAGGCACATTATAGTTTATAGACGCTCAACAGCCATTGAATGGATCACTCTCCAGTAATCACAGTGCTCATCAATTTGCGAATTATAATTACCTGAAAGGGGGCATTGAGATTTATATTCCTTTGCCAATCCTAAAATATACACAGCATGTCTCAATCCTTTTAAAAATTAAACCCTTTACTGTCATTCTCTACAAAAAATTTAATTTGCATAGGTATCATTGGGGTCCAAGAGACTGAAGAGTAAATGAATAAGTCTGGGCATGATTTCAGCCCACTTTCTACCCCAGGTGCAGAGGAAAGCAAACAGGATTTTCTCATATTGGGATAAGACGTCTGTCATTTGGAAACACTGCGGTCCATGGACGAAGACACAAATAAGAAAAAAGGGTTAGGAATCTCAGCTAAGTTGTTTTGAATAAGCAACAATATACACAATGATATACAATCATTTGAGAAAACTATTGTTTATTTAGAAAAAAAGGTTACATGGGTAGAATTCGATAGATAAAAAAATTTCCTTTTAAAAATGTCACTGTGAAACTTTTCCAGATGAAAGTTCAGCAATACAAAGCTTCTCTAACTGTAGAATTAAAACACATTTTTATTCCCCCCAACCTCTTGTTTTTGTTAACATAATTACAAGAAAAAATGGCAAGGGACAAGTGAGTGCTGGTACCATTTTTTTTCAAACATGTTTTAATGTTGTACACGAACTATATAAAATGATTCCTAGGCATTGCATAAGACACTGCTCCCACTTTGTTTTTTTTACTGACTAAATATAAAACAGGCCAAATAATAAGTTAAAATTGGGTTTTTAAATGAGGTAAATTCAAAATGGTTCAATAATTGTTTATTTTCCATTTCAAACAATAAAAAGGAAGCATTGCATATTGGAAAAAAAAATAAACCCAGGCAATATTCAGTTGCTCTAAAGTGAAATTCTGTACATATGTAACCTTATTTGCTTGTTGGAAACTGTATGCAGCACATTGTGCTAAAAATATGAGACAGTTAACACTTTCAGCCATTTACTGAAAATAAACATGTAGAAACTAAGCAACAAGTTAAATACAGTAATGCACAACTCAACAATTTTAAGTTTTCGGCATGGAGCAATAAAGCAGATAACTGAATAATTTAAGGAGATGCAAATGGGCCCTCTTCATTCATAATTCTTGGCAATCTACTCAGGAAAATAAATTTCTGGTCACAGCTGAACAATTCATTCCAATCTCACCTGAAAGAAACAAAGTGATTATATTGATAGATAAGAAAGGAAGGAGGGTGAGAGAGGCGACCGATGGAAGGTGGAAGAGGGACAGACCAAAGGAGAAGGGAGGAGAGAAGGAAGGAAGAAAAAAGAGAAGGAAGATTTAACAAAGAAAATCAATGAGTTCTGTGAATAACCAATGCTTGAATTAAGTCCCTAGATAAGGATAAAATATTTGTATTTCTTATTGACTACTTGGCATACTATGATAACTTGTATTTTATCTGAGAGAGAGGAAAAGAGGGGAATGGGGGAAGGGAGGAAGGAAAAAATGAAATAGAAACAAGTAAAACATTCCACTGGGACAAGCAATAGCTTGTCAAAAGTAAACAACACATAGCAATGAAAAGGAACCAATTTTACACGATCAATAAAAAGAAAAATGACATCACATTTTTTCATAAGGACATGATTTTAATAGTTACTTATATTAAGATGCAATGTCTGCTAAATTATAAAAATTGCTTTAAAAATATATTGACTTAATTATACTCATTTCCTTTATGTATTGACATTTTTCAAATACTGCATATTTGAAATAAATCAAAACATGATTATTACAACATGTGGCAAATAAGTTCATATCTGCCTAACAATGTTCTCATTCAAATTTTAAATTAATGCTTAAGGCATTAAATTTTACTTATGAAATACTACATTCATATATTTCATAAAATCAGAGCTAGAAGGGTCTTAGAAAATAATCACACTTGCATGAAATGCTGACAATAATTTACATATCATTTCTATACAGCATTCTGTTCACATCATGTATAATCTTGACATTACCAATTACAATTATAGATACACATATGTTGAACTTACAATTTTAATACTTAAATCATTGTTCCTGTTCATCACTGATGAATGGATAAACAAAATGTGGTACACATTCATACAATGGAATAGTATTCACTTATAAAAAGAAATGAAACTCTTATACATGCTATAACATGGATGAATCTTGAAAACATGATGCTAAGTAGAAGCAGCTAGACACAAAAGGCCACATATAGAATGACTTCATTTTTATGAAATGTCCAAAATAGGCAAATCCAAAGAGAAAATACTTTAGTTACTTCCAGGGGGAGGGGAAAGAGAATTGGGAGTGACTCTAACAGGTGTGGGGTCTCTTTTGGGGATGATGCAGATATTCTGGAATTAATGGTGATAGTTACAACATAGTGATATATTAAAAACCACGTTGGCAGATTTTATTTTATGTGAATTTAACCCACTTTTTTTAACTGCCAAAAAGTCCATGTTACAATAAAGAGTATCATGGTATCAGTATAAGAAATGGGTTCTCAATCATGAAGCTGTCGTAATTACTGGGCAAGGGGAATTTTGATGACACATTTAGGGGCACATTAAAAGATAAAACTGGTATCACTGCCAGAACATGTGAAGATGATCTTTCCCAGGAAATGAAATTAAAATTTTTACAAGAAGCCAAAATCCTCAAGCAATATAATCATACCATTATTGTAAAACTCATAGAAGTTAGCACACAAATACAGTCTATCTACAAAATCAAGGTACTTGTCCCAGGACATGATTTCCTCTTCTTTCTGAGAAAGAAGGATGAACTAAAACAGTGAAATTTTTATTAGATGCTGCTTCTGGGTGGCAAATCTCCAGTAAAAATTGCTGCAAGAAACTGCCTGGAGGTGAAAATAATGTTCTGAAAATCAGTGACTTTGGAATGTCTCGTCAAGAGGATGGTGGTGTGTATTCATCTTCTGATTTAAAGCAGATTCCCATTAAATGGACAGCACCAGAAGCTCTTAATTATGGGAGATATCGTTCTGAGAGTGACGCATGGAGCTTTGGCATCCTCCTCTGGGAGACCTTCAGTTTAGGGGTCTGTCCACACCCTGGAATGACAAATCAGCAAGCACAAGAGCAAGTGGAAAGAAGATACCAGATGTCAGTCTCTCAGCAGTGTCCAGAATGTATTTACAAAATAATGCTGAAGTCTTGGGATTACAAACTTGAAAACCGCCCCAAGTTCAGGGAACTTGAGAAAGAAATGCCATCAAGAAGAAAGTCACACAGTGATGAAACACTGCTAAACTCAGACTTTAGGACTCTTATCTTCCAGTAGAGTAATATTTTCTTCTCATTAACAAGTCTATACCACATTACCTGGAATATTCTACTAAGGTTATTTTTTTTCAACTATTTTTAAGAAATATGTACAACTTTAACCACTGTAATAAAAAAGCACAGGTTCTAAATGCAAGAAATCCCACTGATCTTTTCACATCAAGGACTGCTGATATTTCTCAAAGAGTTTCTACTTTAGGCTCAGTTCAGAGTTGGCAGTCCTCGATCCTAGACAGCTTTCCTCTCCCAGTGCTATAAACTGCACTGGTAATACCATCTTTGCAGGACACATTTCCAAAAAAGGTGGCCTTTCACTGTGCTAAGACAAGATTACATTTGTAAACATCACTTTCCATTGGGAATTATTTGAACATCCTGGGGTTTTTTCTTCTTTGCTTTTTGCCAGAAATAGGCCTTGCTGTTTTAGTAAGGTTGTCATTTCCCTATGTTCCACCACAGCCTTCTCCTTTGTCTGGGTATAAGAAAACTATGTATGAAATGCCTTCAAAGAGTACCCTTTCAGAGTTGAGGCAGCTGATTTTCAATGAAGTTACTTTATAGAGAGCTTTGACAGCAAGAACGAAGTCTGAAACACAGGTCTGGGTGAAAGAGCAGCTAGACTGTTGATCAAAGTAGAAAACAAAGACAAATAGGATAGCAGCCTTGTAAACACACACACACTAATTTTATGATTAAATTCACCAAAAAGGTCCTAAGAAATGTTTCAACTGTTCTTCATAAAAGAGCCCTCTGGATGGCAACAAAATTTATGTAGAGAAACTACGTAATACAAGCCCAGCAAATTAATAGCTTATTCCTGGTTAATCCTAGTACCTGTACACACACACACACACACACACACACACACACAGGCACCCACAAGCCAAGCAGAAAGGCACACATGGATAAAATTGACAGTTAAAAAGTCCAATGAACATTTACAAGGAAGAAAGAAGCTACAGGAGAAAGACAAAAGGACAGCCATCCTAATTCCACTTTACTCCTTCACTTACCCTTAAACTGCTCCCTAGCAATTTTTATCATCGCAAACACACTTCCTGAGGTATTCCAACTGGATAAAATGGAACAGTTAAGACTAGGATTCTATTGAACTGAATCTCACCACACCCTGGGGTACCTCTCAAGATAAATGTGTGTATAGGGAACAGTCACTCAAGGGTAAATGTGGCATTGGAGTCTTTGCGAAGTGCTCATGCCTATGTCCAGATAAAGAATAGCACAGCACCTGAGTGAATATTTTGTCTGCCTTAAGTGGAAGAAAGGAAATAGAAAATCCCTCCTGTTCTCCCCAACTGTTTAGTGCCTATGAATATCAGTGCACAGAATTCAGTGATACTTTAAAGGATAAAAATGAAAAGAAAAATAGTTCGGGTCTATCATTTCAATCTCCTAACAAAACTTTTGTATACCTTTAGTGGTTGCTACACACAGACCCAGATGATAGCATAATAAAACTGCCCTCAAAAAATATGTTGCAGCATATACAGCAACTTCTTAAACAGTAAGTATACTATCAAATGTTACAAATAAACTGAACCTTCTTTTGAGGGCAAAAAAAGGTCAATGATGTTTCTCTTCAATTCCAAAAAGATACAGTTAACACTCTGAGTACATAATTCTCCATGTAAAGTTAAGAGTATCTGAAACAGGTGACTCAGTGGCAAAGAATCCACCTGCCAAGCAGGAGATGAAGGTTCCATCTCTGGGTCAGGTGGATCTCTTGGAGAAGGAAATGGCAACCCACTACAGTATTTTTGCCTGGAAAATCTCATGGACAGAGGAACCCAGGCTATAGTCCTTGGGGTCGCAAAGAGTCAGACACAATTTAGCAACTAAACCAATACCCTTTGAAACATAGTAGGTAATAAAGAAAAATACTTGGTTGTCTGATTATAAGGAAGAGATGGAAGTTAACTGCCTTCAACAAGATCAAAATCTAAGGAAAGGGATATGCGACACACTCATATATGCAGCAGCAGCAGCTTATATACATAGGAATCAGTGACTAGGATTCTAGGCAAGCTGATACACGCCTGTAAGCAATGGGAAACTACTGAGAAAGTTAACTGAACACTCCCTACTCTACATATATTATCAGCATCTAGAACTGCACCTCAAGGTAACACATTCCTAAAATAAGCAATCTTTGAGCACTTTGGAGGTCAGTTTCCAAGTATGGACTGAAGAAGAAAGACTCAGAATGGGGATTACAAAATCAGTTGTTTATAGGGGCTAGTATAAAATGGAAACAAATGGAAGTGCACCTACTGGGGCCTGATTGAGGCAAACTACAAAAAAAGACCCATTCTATTTAAGGGAGACAAGCACCTAGGCAAGTCTAGCTGATTGCTGCCATGCAGAAATGAGAACACAATGTTGCCAGCTGTCCCAGTTCTTCAATAGAAAGTAACATTTGGATTTTGTTAACTATTCTGAAAATGTTAAATACTGTGCAAGGCCAAGAAGGTATGTCTAATAACCCACATTCTGCCTAAGGGCTGAGAATTTGCAACCTTGGGTTTAAATGTTAAGAGCTAGGTTACACATAAGAGATGGAGGTGACAGACAGACTGGTAAAATATATTAGGCCTCGCTGGAGTGGAGTATTAGAATAGGAACGTAGTATACTACAAATACAGATGGGCAGCAGAGAGTTAATTGTTAATATTCTTTGAAATCAAGAATCCAGGAGCGAAGTGCAAGTAGATTGAGTTTCTCAAAACCTAGAAGCAAGTCTCAATTTAGCAATGTCTGGCTCACTAAAGGACTCTCAAAAGATAGCTGAACTCAATGAATTGAAGACCATACATATCAATTTAAAACTGAGACTCTAAAGAATGGTTCTAAGTGGAAATTTTGCATAGACAGGAATTTTTAAAGATTAAACTAGGGGAAAAGGTTAAAAGCAAAGAAGTTAGTTGTGTTCCAGAGACCAAATCAAAGAGAGGTAGGATGAATCTGGACAAAGACGTTAGCAAAAACAAGTAACAGGAAATACAGAGAACAAGCAAAAAGGATTTTGCAACCAAAAACTATGAAACAGGAAAAGAAGACTTTGGAAGGAATTTAATCTGGGTCACATTCATATTTTCTTAACTCTAACATGATCATTTTAATGTTTCTGAAATCAGGGTGATACTTACAAATCAATGTCATTTCTCCATGCACTTTTCTCAAGAAAAAAAAAAAAACAGTTCTAGAAAGCAACAATGAATCTTATAATTAATGACATCTCTGAATCACAGAAATGTGACATGTGTAGCAGTTCTCCTTTCTGTATAATATAAAATTTAAAAGGGAGCAAGGAGCAGATCTGAAGTGGCCTAAAGGTAAATGATGCCAATCAGAAATGATGAGAACTCTAAATGAAAAGGAACAGCATAAAGACTTGACCAACCCTAGAAGGTATCCAACAGAAGACAGCCAGAACAGCTTAAAAAAAATGAAAAGTCTACCAGTGCTTCACAAAGAGTCTACGCAAGAAGAGAATAAAGAGAGATGTATAAAACCACAGTGAAAGCTGTCAATGACAATGATTGGCCCATTCCTAATGAAGATACAAGAGGTAGAGCTTTTTTTTTTTTTTTTTTTTTAAAAATAAGGGGACCAGGTTGACAGCAAGAAGTAAAAAGCAAAAAGTAAAATGCCAACTAAAAGGAAGGTTATGGTGAAGAATAAAAAAAGATTAATAGTTTATCATTCACCAGGGAAGACAGCCAGTTGTTAGGCAAAGGGATAGCTAGAATTTAAGAATAGGTAATATTCTTTTATAATCTTCCTAATTTAAAAAAATCTACTAAATTCTTAAAAGCTCTCTCACAACTCTCATCTTCCCTTCTACGCTAATACTCAGAAAACAAGCACAGACTAATAAAACAGAAAAAGCACATAACCTGTCAGGAAGTTACCTGCCTGACAACCTCAAATCCCTGCTCTGTAGCCAAAATAAACAACAAAATCCATACTCTAAAGTTCACCGCTTTATATGGAATAGGCTCTCAGATATTTCTCATTCAAACTGTAAACAGCCTTGGTTATCTATCTAGTTTCATAAAAGATTAGAAGAAGCAAATAATATTAGGAGGGAGCTAGAGAATGTAAGTATACCTGATATCATTAAGAAGTGACAGCTAATACGGAAACAAGAAAATTGGCTATAAAAGATTCAACAACTTCAATACTGCCATCTCAAACCATTAGCTGTAGAGGGCAAATCATACTACATACCTCAAAAATCCTAAGGCATCACCAAACAATAACTTTTCAGATGATTATCTGAGTGCTCAAAAAAGATCATATTAAGGGTTCTGAACACTCAGTCCACAAATAATTTAAGATGGATAAAACATTTTTTAAAACTCATGTAAGGTATAACTACTTTGAAAACAAAACTGCCTATTTTAAAATCCAGAACTAAAAGCACAGACCCTATTTTTGGCTTTGAAAAACATGGGCAGTGATAGAGAAGCAAGAAACTTAAGACAAAAAAAATCTCTGAATAACATGTCGGCATGAAAGGCAAAAGATGACAGAACACAAGCAGGCAAGAAGGTCTACGTTTACATGCTGGCCATGTCAGGTAATCTCTCTGTCACTCCCTTCCACTTAACCTCTTAAAAGTCTCAGTTTCTTCCCCTGTAAAATGCAGATACCACCATCACCTATAAGGTACTTTTAAAAAAGTGATTAATCATCCAGAGAAGATGGGAGTGAGCAGTGGAGAGAAAGCCAGATGTTTTTAAACATATCCTGGTGCTTTAAAAAAGGAAAAAAAAAAGGCATGACTAATCAGCAAGCTTAAAATGAAAACAGCTCAAAAATAACCATGAATCTTGTCTCACATCTTTACCCAAAGGCCTGAGCATTATATTTAGGTGAAAAACTACAGTTGTGTCTTGCAAAAATAAATCTAGTTTCTTCAACATTATCATATCTCATTTTGTATTTCTATCTTTAAATGAAAAAGAGGTGAGAGAACACTCACCTTGATTGAAAGTCTTCATTATCTGTGCTTGTCCGAGGACTTATGAGTAGATGACAAATTAAGGGAAAACAACTTTTCGGGGGGTAAAAAGAATCGTGTCTCATCTTTTAGTACAGCCCCTCAGCCTGCAGGCCTAACTGACTCTTGCCAGCCCGGCAGTCTCAGACTCTAGCAGCTCTGCTCATCTGCAGCAGCATCTTGCCCTGCTAGTCCCCATGCCCCCAGCCCAAGGGACTCCTTTCTTCCTCTTGGTGGGAGAGCCAGAGGGACTTTAAATCCCTTGGTGGCATAAAACAACCTCAGTTACCAAAGAAGTTTAAGAAAACAATCAAGTCTCCCATTTCCATGTTTTATACATTTGAGAGGGTTAACTAGAGAGACCATTTAAAAGGTAGTAAGCCCTTAAGCATTTAGACACATAGTACAAGGCTACAATCCTAAATAAGATCAGTATCAAAGTTTTCCATTATACTGATGAAAAACATCTAGAAGATGAAAAGGATATTGTTTCTTCTCTTCCTTTCCTCCTGAACTGTCCCGTTTCTCTTTCTTTTCTATCTTTTCTTTATCATGCCTGGACTCCTATAATGAATGGTGGAATTAGTTGAAGGGAAAACCAAATATAAAAATCAGCTTAAAATCCCTTTCATCACCCACCAGACATTAATTTTTCTTCAGTTATTTAATATAACACCAAAAGCACAAGCCAAACAAAACTGGACTTCATCAAACGTAAAAACTTGTATGCATCAAAGAACACTATCAAGAAAGTGAAAAGACAACCTACAGAACAGGAGAAAATATTTGCATATATGCATCTCATAAGTGTCTAATATCAAGACTACATAAAGAATTCTTACAACTGAGCAACAAAAAGACAAACAATACAATTTTTTAAATGGCCAAAGCATCTAAATAGATTTTTTCAAAAGATATACAAATGGCCAACAAGTACATGAAAAGGTGCTCAACGTCATTAGTCATTAAGAAAACACAAAATCAAAATGACAGTGAGATACTAATTCACACCCACTAGGATGGCTACAGTAAAAACAAATAAATAAAACAGAAAGAGAAAATAACAAGTGTTGGCAAGGATGTAGGGAAATTGGCACTCTCATATATCGCTGGTAGAAATGTAAGCTGTGCAGCCACTATGGAAAATGGTTTGGTGGTTCCTCAAAAAGCTAAACATAGCATTACCATATAACCCAGATATTTCATTCCTGGGTATATACACAAGATCACTGAAAAAAGATATTCAAACAAATAATTCATAGTAGCACACAAATGTTCGTAGCAGCACAACTGACAACAGCCAAAGGTGGAAAACAGAACAAAAGTCCATCAACTGATGAATGGATAAGCAAGCGTTGTATATTCGAACAATGGAATATTATTTAGCCATGAAAAGAAATGAAGTACTGATACATGCACCACCATGAATAATCTCAAGAAGATTACACTAAGTGAAAGAAGTTAGAGACAAAAGGCCACATTATTATACAGTTCCACTTATAGGAAATAGCCAGAGTTTTTGATAAGCTCATAAAGAGTTCATAGAGACAGCAAGCAGATTCAGAGTTGCGAAAGGCTAAAGGGAGGGGGAAATGGGGAATGACTTGATGAGTATGTGGTTTCCCTTTGGGGTGATGAAAATGTTCTGGAACTAGACAGAGATGATGAGTGCAAAACACTGTAAATATATTAAATGCCACTGAATGATATACTTTAAAATGGTTAATTTTATGTTATGTGAAATTTTACCTCAGTTTAAAATGCTTAAAAAGGAGCAGCCTCCCTTTTAAAACCATCACCTTATAATTTTCAAAAACTGCTTTTAAGAACTATGAATATATGGCATATATGTTGACTAAATATAATGATGCTTTGTAAACACTTAAGTAATGACTTGCTTACTTTATGACAGATGCATGGGATATATTCTGAGTATTATCCATTAGTATCTAAGAGAATGCACACTACACTTAATTTTAAAATCAAATATAAGATGTAAACATAAGTTTATTAGGAGGAAATGTTATAAAAGTGTGTTATAAATGAGAAAGACCTTATAACAGTGTAATGATCAGGGAGAATACATGTGATCACATTTTATTTTATTATTTTATTTTTTTCCCCCATTTTTATTTTTATTTTTTTTTGATTGGCTTTTTATTTTATTTTTTTAAATTTTTAATAGTTGGAGGCTAATTACTTTACAATATTATAGTGGTTTTTGTCATACATTGACATGAATTAGCCATGGATTTACATGTATTCCCCATCCCGATCCCCCCTCCCACCTCCCTCTCCACCCGATCCCTTTGGCTCTTCCCAGTGCACCAGGTCCGAGCACTTGTCTCATGCACCCAACCTGGGCTGGTGATCTGTCTCACTATAGATAATGTACATATTTCAATGCTGTTCTCTCGAAACATCCCACCCTCGCCTTCTCCCACAGAGTCTAAAAGTCTGTTCTGTACATCTGTGTCTCTTTTTCTGTTTTGCATATAGGGTTATCATTACCATCTTTCTAAATTCTATATATATGTGTTAGTATACTGTAATGGTCTTTATCTTTCTGGCTTACTTCACTCTGTATAATGGGCTCCAGTTTCATCCATCTCATAAGAACTGATTCAAATGAATTCTTTTTAACGGCTGAGTAATATTCCATGGTGTATACGTACCACAGCTTCCTTATCCATTCGTCTGCTGATGGGCATTTAGGTTGCTTCCATGTCCTGGCTATTATAAACAGTGCTGCAATGAACATTGGGGTGCACGTGTCTCTTTCAGATCTGGTTTCCTCGGTGTGTATGCCCAGAAGTGGGATTGCTGGGTCATATGGCAGTTCTATTTCCAGTTTTTTAAGAAATCTCCACACTGTTTTCCATAGTGGCTGTACTAGTTTGCATTCCCACCAACAGTGTAAGAGGGTTCCCTTTTCTCCACACCCTCTCCAGCATTTATTGCTTGTAGACTTTTGGATAGCAGCCATCCTGACTGGCGTGTAATGGTACCTCATTGTGGTTTTGATTTGCATTTCTCTGATAATGAGTGATGTTGAGCATCTTTTCATGTGTTTTTTAGCCATCTGTGTGATGTGACCACATTTTAATCTCATGACCAAAGAGAAACTACTGAATCTCTGAATTGTTGTCAGAGAAAAAAGAAAACACGCTAACACACACTGAAACTCAATGACAAGAAGTAGGTGTGAGTGGAATGGAGAGGAAAGGAAATTCAGAAGTAATCTAATTCTACCCTCCCAGCAATTTGGGACTAAACCGCTTCAAGTTCTCCAAGAAAACCTGCCCTCCTCCAAAACCTCCTCCTCCCACCCCCAAATAATTAACAGAAGACTATTTGACTACAAAAAAAACCTGCAATATTGGCTAAATTTTCTAATGGGAGATTTTCTAAGAAAATTTTTCATTGTTCCTTTTGTTCTCCTAATTTACCTTTTTGCCACCAGAGGAGATTTTATCCATCTTTTCAGATTTAAATGAGTCGCCGCCTTTTTCTTTGCCTGAAGATTTTGACTTATTTTTTTCCTTGTCTTTCTCATTTGGATAAGGAGACTCACATGGACTTTCACTTTTGTGTTTTGAAACCCCCACTAAAATTATAAAAGAGAATCATGAAAGCCTTTTTCAATTCAGTTTGATGACTACTTGGAAAGTATTAATAGGTCTACCTACTTGTTCCATTTTCCTCTTTCCGCCTCTTGGTTAAGTCCGGTGGCACTTCTCGGTCATTGTTTGAGTGATCCTAGAACCAAGAATTGTGAACTACGTTGATTAAAAGTTTTTGTTTTAAAGTACTACTTTTCCACAAGAAGAGCACAGCTAACTAGCATTGGAGAATATCTTCAGTAGTTTCACATACTTGGTAAAATGACATGATAGGCAAGAAGAGCTGGTAGAGATTACTAGGCTGAAGATCCTTATAACTGTAGAAGATTCAAACACACTTGAGGGTGAAAATACCAGTTAAACACCAAATAATAGACTGTCATGCAACAAACTGGTACTTTAGATCAGGCAACAGACACTACTGTACATGATAATGAACTTTCCAAACTAGTTTTTAAAAAATTACAAACCCTTTTCCGCTCTTTCCTGTCCTTTTCATCTTTTTTTTCTCTTTCTCTGGATCTTTCCCTTGACTTGTCCAAATCTTTCTTGTCCATTTCTCTCTCCTTACTCTTGGACAGTGGTGGAGGAGTATGATTAATGTAGAGCTGTTAAATTAAGGCAATATTACTAAAGATTATTAGTTTTCCAGTATTGACATCATTTGCTCGATTGTTTATTTAATGAAAGACATTTGGTAGTAGACCCAAAGTCAAAACTGGTCAGCTGCATGGATTATGAGAGGTAAAATAAAAGGGCATGGCACAAATTATGCAAAGACTTCAATTCTTGACCTTGTAAATGTTTATCATTTAAACTCAACCAGTTCACTCCTCCCTCAACTGAGATTTTTATTATTAAATTCACAAGCTACAGTTCCTTATATAGTTCTACTGTGAAGACCTATAGCTACCATCATTACAAGAGTTCATGTGTCAAAAATAGTTCCTGGACTTTCTCTACTATTAAAAAAAAACTCTACACAATCCTAGAAATTTTAAAAAGTTTTACTATTCACTGATAAGCAATTGACGACAGTGAGGAAAGTATAATATAAAACTTAGCCATGACTTACTTTACTAATAAGTCTTTTCTGCCTCAGTATAAATCATGAATAGATTATCCTTTAATCACTGTTATAGTAAAGGCTACATATTCTCTACTTCTGAAAGCACTCCAGTTTCTGTAAAATAATCACAATTGATTGTAAAATTTGTCTTGTGCTGTGCTGTGTTTAGTCGCTCAGTCGTCTCCAACTCTTTGTGACCCCCTGGACTGTAGCCTGTCAGGCTCCTCTGTCCATGGGATTCTCCAGGCAAGAACACTGGAGTGGGTTGCCATGCCCTCCTCCAGGGGATGTTCCTGAGCCAGGGATCGAACCCAGGTCTCCCGCATTACAGGTGGATTCTTAACCATCTGAGCCACCAGAGAAGCCCAGAATTTGTCTTACTGGTTCTAAAAAGCTCAGAAAGCCATATTGTCCATTGAGGTTGATGAAACAGACTGAAAAATGATGAATCAATGTTCTCTTTTGCCTATTCTTTCTCCAATGAAAGGCCCAAAGGCCATAAAATAGCCAAAGATCAAGGATGTGCTAATTCTAAATAAGAGGTAATCTTACTTATACAAGTTGTAAATATGGAAATCCATTAGAAAAGAAAATATTAAGGAAATAATCAGACACCTAACCTTGCAGCATTTATAACTGTGCTATAAGCTTGCATTTAAGACATTAAAAATTAGGCAGAATACTGAACATAACTCATTATATAGCTACACAATTCTAGATATACCTTGAGAATGAAAAGAACAGTGAGTCAAAAGTCAAATATTTTTACATAAACAAATCCTTTGGTATTCAAAGGAATACACAAAAAAAGACGTCCATCAGTTTGAGAATTAACACTTGTTTTTTAACACCACCAAATATTTTCAATTCAGTTTGCTCAGAAATACTACCATAGCAATGCATAAGTAGATTCTTTAAAAATTCAATGTATATAAGTTGGTGATCAACTGAAATATACAAAATGCTTATTAATAACAAAGAGCAAGAGAATGAGAAACAATCATAAAAGTGTTTGTCCAAAAGGTACTCTTGCTGGATACATGCCCTAAATGACACTAAGATTTTCTAACTGAGGAGTTTATTCACCTTAAGTCAATATTACTCATGAAACTGACAAGACAAAGAAAGCAATGTTGTTGCAATACTCTTAGTACTGCTTAATTCTTCCAGTAAAATTTGTTTGTGATTATAAGTAAGTACGTGCACACATGCATGTATGCAGGCATGCACACATGCACACTCCTCCACAAGAATGACGTGTACCTAACTTGAATTCTGTATTGCAAGGAATTGGGAAACCTAGAAATTCTTAGCTTAGAAACGTACCAGTTCTATTCCTTCTTTCTGTCCTTCTAAGAATAGTTCTGATGACAATACTCTTTTCTACAAAAACAGCCTCTCATTTCCTATGCATAAAATAATATTCCTTAGCTTGAGTATTCCAAGCTCTTCACAATCTTTGCACAATTCTATTCTACTATGGAGTAATCCAATGTACTCTAGGCTGTGGCTGCTGCTGCTCCCTAACACCCTGCACTTCCCAGCAGGTGTCTTCACTGGAACAGGTGTTCATTTTATCTTAATCTCTTAAACTCCTACTTTGACTTCAAAAGCCATCAGCACTTCAACATTCCCTCAACTCCACAAATCACTGTCCAGTGAACTCTTATTTTATATTAGCCTTTTTGGTGGCAAGTATTCCCAATTAATATCATGTCATTTACTTTTGTCCATAGCACAGTTTGCAGGATGGCAGGGAAGCTAATTTCCCTTTTTCTACTTTTACATACTTCCCAGTGCCTTGTACACACAGTGAGTACTCAATACATATGAAGATGGCCTGACATGTAGGCTCAGGTTTGATTGTAGACCCTTGTTTTAAGATGATGAACAGAATTAAAAGCTGAAGTTTATTTTTTGAGGGGGGTTATTGCTCCCCTCTGAAATTACAGAGAAGCTTGGTTTAAAGGAGCCTGCTATTCATACTTTACCCAATGTAAGTGCTAAGACTGCTAAATAAAAACACAATGGACCAAAACTAGAAACATGCTAACTGGAAGTAGCATGGGGGTAGAAGGTGAACGGACAGAAAAGATTTGGATACTAATTCATCTTGAAAAGCCAAGTCCATGTATTACTTTCACTATGGATTAAAAAATGAAAATAGCAACTATTTAATTAGAAAAAAAAAGAGGATCCTGGACAAAGTATAACTAAAAGATGAAACTAAAGCAGGGAAACATTTTTACATGTACAATAACAAAGTGACCTGAAAATATAGACACATACCTTTCAAATCCTCTAAAAAGTAAAAGCTACCACAGAAACAGTGAGTTTATTTATAGATCATTCATATTAGAAAGCACTCAAAATCCAGAAAAAAAATTTTTCTAAGACATTCATATGCTAGTAAACTTTCCTAGACACACAAAAAGCAACATCAACTACTATGCAGACTGGTGAACTTTGGATGCTTTAACAAGTCCAAAGGCATAGAAGTTCATTTTAAATATTTACTGAACATCTAATCATACTGTCAGGCACTAAGGATCTGAAAAGTGGTATGAGTCACAATTTTTACAAGTGTATTCATATGCCATTTCTAAATGTTCCGACTGAATATTGAAATCTACTGAATTTTAAATGCCCACAAAATCACTATCTTTTTTTTAAAGGGGTGGGATCACCCCTGAATCTCTATAATTTAAAAAATAAGACAAACACACGAAAGAAGTTAAGAACGCTTTCAACTACTATTGAAATATGAGTGCTAGGAATCAAAGAACTATTTTTTTGCAACTTTTTTTTTCATGGTGGTAAGAATACTTGAGGAACCTTAATTTTAGTACAAGTTCTGGTGCTAACAAGTTATACGCCACTGGGAAAAGGTCAGGAACTTTAGTCTGTTATTTGTTAAAAAAAGACACTGCTACTTGCCCTACCTGCCTCACAACATCTATGATGAGTATGAAATGAGATAACATATGCTTATCTCATATGTTTTATTTTCAAAAGGCTTTCACAAAATGCAAGGAATCATAATCTTTATCATTGATTAAAAAATCCAGTTAAGTATAACAGCAGGTTTCCAACTGCTTCAAAATATGTTCCACGAAATATTCACAAGGTAACATTGTAAATCCATGAATTTAAAACAGCCCACACAAGCCACTGACGGTTAAGACTGACATACATACACAGTCCCACTCTGGTTATAAAAACCTACTATACTGGAATACAGCATCAATAGAGCAAAAATTTTACTTTAAAAGAAACCATTCGCACTTAATACAGTATATTCTAAAAACAATGCTACAATTTCAGGACACAGGCATATTGGCTAATCTAAGCTGTTAAAAATTAGTGCTTACTTGCCCAATATCCACAGACATTTCAATTTAAAGCTATAGTTCTAAAAGCGGTTAGTACTGTCAACTGGCTTTGTTCCAAGATATCATTTTTTACTGGTCTACCAGTAAGGAATCATACTTAGCAGATATAAGAGGAGGCAAAGTAGAAAATCAAAGTGAAACAGGGTACAAATTTTATAATAATAAAGACAAAATAACATGAACATTGGACAATTCAACTATAATCATGAAATGAATGAATTCTGTAATAAGATACACAAACTGCACATTATTTTTAGTAGCAGAATACTCAAGAATAGGCAAGAATTAATACTGACAAGTAAACACAACCATTGAGTTGAATATTCCCCAAGAGAAAGATTAGTTTACATTAACCATACTTTTTGATAACATGCCACAACTACCAAAAAGGTAGCTCAGCAGACGTGACATAAAATGGGTTGACGTTTATGGGTTGAGATGGGCTCAGTTTTTAGAAGAGTTATGTGAATGCATCAGATATATCTTTTGGTCTTCTGGGTTATCTAAAAAAATTAGAAAACAGTCTGACAGATTTGTTTTGAGAAATTAAATAAGCCTACTCCCCCTCAAAAAAACCAACTCCCTCTGCATATCTTAAACTTATTTTCAGATTTTGAAGCATAAAAGGATAAGGCATAACAGCAAGCAAGGAGAGATTATAGAAAGATTGCCACATTACATACATTTTGTAACAATTTCACTAAAGGGATCATCCCCACATCATCCACTGTTTCAGTTTGTGATAGGTATTTTTAAAGGTTATTCCACTAGCTTACTGAATTTACTAGGGTGAGGGTACCTACTAAACAAATGAAGTAACGAATTTTTCTTTGTTTTACTTAGGCATGATGATTTTAAAAGACTCAAACCTTTGCTGAAGACTCCTTGAGTTCGATGAGACTGTCCTGTAGAAAATGAATGGAGATGACAGGTGAGCTGGCATAGTTCTCAGAACCCAGAAGAACTTTGGAAAGTATGGCTGTAACCTGGAAATAAACCAGCTACTTCTTGTGAGGATAAATCTCATGATGTCATTATTATATGAATATCAACAGTAAAAAAGAAAACAAAAACTATGTAATGGAATTGTAATGTTAAAAAAAAACTTAATTATATGTACTCATTGCAACAAATAAAAATCTTTCTCTGCTCAGAATTTAAAAACAAATGTCAATGCTACATTTTTTCATAATACTGTATTTAAGCTACAGGTAACATTAAAAAGCTTAAGAAAGCAAAATATTTTTTCTCCACAAAAAAGCTTAAGATAGTGGAGATCACAACATTGTCTTATATTTTCATAATTTTTCTTTAATAGGGAGGTTTCAAACTTTACTTGTGACTGTCATAAATATACACAAATTTTATTCTAGCCAGAAAACTCAGTGGCATTACATTAACAAGAAAACAAAATATATTCTATAAAAGAGTAATTAACTCTTTTCTTTTTGCAAAGTGCCTCTAACTGTAAATCTCATACCTCCCACAAAAAAAAAAAAAAAAGACGTTAAAAAAAAAAAACAAAGAAAGAAAATGAAATTACGGTATTCAACCACAGTGCTCTTGATGAAGAATTAGTTAACTTACAGGTTTAAAAGTTCAACGTACTGCAAATTCAAAGATTCCATGAAATTAGATGACTTTAGAATTAAAATTAAATATGGAGCAAGGAATGGCTACCCTGAGTCTTCAAGAAGGCTACACCCACGATTTTGTGCTGCAGTTGAATGCCTGGGGTTTCTCTTTGCTGGGTGGTAGGATTGGATGCCACATCTGCAAGGTTCAACTTGTTGGGAACCCAATGGGTATAAACAAACCTCCAAGGGAAGATACAACAGAAGCTGCATGCTCACTGAATATACACAACTACAGGAGAACTGATCACCAAGGAGACTTTAAAATGGAACTCCTTTCAAGACTCCTTCTTAGAAGGCACACATCGGTATGATGCTCATCAAGAAGCTTGATGAATTCAGAGGTATCTTGTTTATCCTGCATCATCCAGGAAGTCTTCAGTGATATATATTCTTCAATATTTATGCCGGAAAATAGGCTTCATTCTGCTGCAAAGATTCATTTGCTTGTAGCTACCATTGCACTCCAAAAAAGACTGCTTAAAGCAGTGAGGCACTTCTGGGAAAAATCTCTCTTGCACTTTGAAACACTACAAAATTAGTGCTAGGTCCTTGAAGTTTTCATATTCTTATAAGAAAAATACTCGATAGGAAAAAAATATCAGTCCACCAAAAAAAAAAATCATTTTCTAATGCAATATAAAACCTCCAGTGGCTCCAGTGAATACTTGGCACAAGACTTGAAGGAAGTCAGGACACGTATTCCAAACAGGTGAGCCTAACATGGACGCTGCCTTCCTCAGGCTATACTAACCTTTACTGTTGAGGAATGTGATGGAGAAGGATGGGTATCAATTTTGCGACGTTTCTGTTCTGTTGGGATGAAAAGAAATAGTCATAATTAAGGTATGTTTGCACTTTTCCCAAACACTTAAAAAGAAACACCAACTTCTAAGATTCTTAAGTATTAGTTTCTCCCTAGTTAAGTCCCTAGATAATTTGCCAAAACAAGACAAGAACCAACTTTAAATTATAACAACCAAAGGTAAACAAGTAAAAAGAAAGACAAACTAAACTTGCCCCTTTCAGGCTCTGCAATATCTGATCGGGGAACAGGTGACTTCAAGGACCCAGAAACTGGTGTTTTCTCTCCTCCTTTAACATTTTCCTTTGAT